AAGCTGATACCAAGGGCTCAAGTAGAAAATAAATGTTTTGAAAATAATGATGGCACCAAATGTACAAATGTGCTTGACACAATGGATGGATGGATGAATTGTGATAAGAGTTGTATGTGGACCCAATAAAATGATATCAAAAAAATAAAATTCAAAAAAACCTCAAAAACAACAACAACAAAAAAACAGTGTCCAGCTCAAAGATGCTAGCCATAAATGCCCTTTCAATATATTTAACTCTCTAAAGTCCTGGCAAAAATCCAGTCTCCTGCATTGAGGACCTCCTGGAAGACGTAGTATGATTCTTCTAGGTCTCCCATTTCAGCAAGTCCATCCATAATTTTTCCTAACCATATTATCAATCCCATTTGCATATTTGGTTTTGTTGTAATTTTGTTGTAAATTCACTGAACTAGTGAAGTAGGTTTGATGCCCTGGTTTGAACATAGCCAGTACTGCAAATCAAAACAATGCAAGAAGACTTGCTATCACAAGGATTGTACGCTAAGAAAAGTCACGGAGCAGCTGGACAATGTCATGTAGATCACTAGGAGTCCACGCCAGGCAATGGTGTAAAACGACAGCTATGCTTTATAGCTTCACCTCTCTCATGTGACAAGCAGAGGTAGAAGATCTTTACTATCCTCTTTTTAATTAATCCTACAACATCGCTCTATCAGTGTACTGCATGTCCTTTGATAGAGACAAAAACATATATATAAGCAAAAGAGGAAGCATTATATAAGCCAAACCAACAACAACAACTTCAGAATGTTATCATTTGTGTCCCATAAAAATTTTAATTCCAATCTGCCAGGGAAGTCTATACCTTCAATGACAAAAGTTCATACTCAATATAATCCTTATTATTACTCATATTGCATGACATAACTGCTAATACCTGCATGTCTCAAAAACAATAATTCTCATCCAGGCAACTTCTACTTGCTCAAGTTGCTCATAATTAAAAGGTTCTGATTTATATGTTATAACTTGTAAACCCTTTATTTTAGTTACAACATTTGTTGCAATTATATGCTCACACTTAATAAGCATGTTCTTTTTGAAGAAATATGTAGTGCTTAATTTTAAAACAAATATTCATTCATCTATTTCCACATAAAATATTTCTGAGTTATTCTCACATCATTGTACTTCATTGAGGCAAATGAAATACAGGGTTGTATGGCAATAGCTTGCACTTGGCTGCGAATCTAATGACTGGTGGTTCAAAGTGGCTCCGGCACAGAAAGGGCTGACAATCTGTTTTGGAGCGAGGACAAGAAACCTTGAAGGGGGTCAGTCTCCCCTGTAACAAACGGTGAGGCCATGAGATGGAAGCAGGTTTGGTTTCTTGGTTCTCAGAATTAGAATTCAAGTTCTTACACTACTATCTAAACAGTTCAAGCTTTGCTTCCTATTCTAATGACATTAGAAAATATTTCTTGCCCCTCTAACTTAGGATTTTTATAAAAGTCATATAACGAAGATTTTTCTTCTTGGATACTTACGGTTCCAGGGCGTGGGTACGGAATTCTGCCTTGATAGGAAATCAGCTGGTGATTAGGCCCTTCCTTGTGGGCAAAAGGCCCATTAAACACAGTCTGTATATCAGATAAGTGGTACACACACACTGCGGAGCCTTTAAACACGGAACTGAGAGGGAGAGCAGAAAACGATCAGTACTCTGTGTACTCGACATTTCGATACTTAAATACAACCTTTAAAAAAAGATGGCAATGATTGTGATAGAAAATTGAGATGACTCATTTTAGAAAAAAGGAATGTTATGACACATAAATGTAAAATTGAAACGTTCACTGTGCTTTTAAGGTATTTATGTATAAGCACTTAATTTATCCCTGGAAGTAGTAGATTAAAAGCAAATCATGGAAAATTTCCTTTCAAAGTTTCCAAGAAATAGGAAAATTTAAGTCTCTCACTAGCTCATCTTAGAACCTAGTGCAAAAGACTTGACGACTGTATTAAATACCTGAATTTGCGTTCCAAATCATGGTTACTAGTGGTTACCCATTCAGCTGCGAACCATGAGGGCAGCCGTTCAAAACCACCAGCTGCTTCAAGGGAGAAAGAGGAGGCTTTCTACTCGGGTGAAAAGTCCCAGTCTTGGAAGCCCACAGGGCAGCTCTGCCACGTCCTCTGAGGTCCCCGTGGCCAGCAGCAACCCCACGGCAGGGAGTGTGGTGCGGTTTCCTCCCCATTTAAACAGAGGAGTTAAACCCACGACTTTGACAAGACGCCATTTATTGATTTTTATTACTTTAATGTGAGTGGGCTCAGATGTTACAATAATTGTTCTTTGGAACAGTCTAAATTGTAATTGTGCATTTGTTTTCCCTGTTAAAAAATCTCTCGGTGACGATTCTGACTCATTGCGACTCCATACAGCGGAGGAGACGGGACCCCGGGAGTTTCCGTATCTCTCCAGCGCATGCCTTCTGGTTTCAAACTGGAGATTCTGTGGCTAGAAGGCTGTAGGTAACCTTCTACCTTAGCAGAGCATTGTATTCATAGAAGAAGAAAAAAAGCTCAATAAGAATTTTCTTAATTACCTTTATGCAATATGTCAGAGTTCATTGGAACTTATACTAAACATTATTTCCATAATCATTGACACACCGCCAAAACCATATTCTCTTTCAAATTAGATAACTAATTGAAAAAGTATTGCATTCCCATTAAAAACACAAGATATAGTATTAATCATTAGCATTTCATAACCATAAGAATTGTGAAAATTTCAATAATAAGGTTGGCGGTTAGACAAACTAACAGAAAATTAATTGTCATTGAAATCAACTGAGTCTTAAGATACTAATCCATTTTGTTTGTTCATTTCTTTGTAAGTTGAATCAAGTCTAGCGACTTTATTAAAACAGCAGTTAAATTAAGGAAAACTTTTTACACATCTTGTGGGAAAAAATTAAATATAATTCATAATGATTATACCTGCAGTTTTATTTTGAATAGTTCACTGCAATTTTTAACTATCCTATACCATCTTTAACTCCACTTAGAAAATGCTAAAATACTTACATTTCCCTACAATAGATACTTGTACATAAAAGGATCCATTACTTTATATATCTGCCAAATCACGATTGGATTATTAGACTGAATTCATAATTAACATTCTAGATATAAACTTTGTAGACAATGATATGTGTAGGAAAGAGGGGAAAAAATACCAGGACTGGCTTGAAATGTATGATAATTGGGTTAAAGCATCTGAAATTAGAAGGTATCAAACCTTTCTTCAAATATATGAAACCTCATTCCATGTGACATGAAAATGGGTTCTGTTTCGCTAGGTTCTAAGTCATCACTTTAGATTGTCAGGAAATACAAAATAGCATAACAGTAATGTCAATATTAAAAACCTGACTCTTAAGTTTTCAAATTATTGCCTGAAATTAAAACAACCAACATATTTTATTCCTGCATTGTAATTCAGATGGTCTTGCATTTAGATAAATAGCAAAAAATCAATACAAATACTCTGTACTAAACCCAGTTGTACAGTTAGCTCAGCTCAAATACATTTTGGTGATCAGGCAAAAGAAAATGAACTGAATATCTGCATTTCAAATGTTACACAGAATTAAAAGAAAATCAATATGTACATTCTGGATAATTAACTCATTGCCATTTAGTCGGTGCAGACTCACAGCACCCCCTTCTGGTGTCCAAGGCTGTAACTGTTCACCGGAGCAGAAAGCCCACCTCTCTGCTGCAGAGCTGCTGTGGTTTCCACCTGTCCACCAGGTGGACCGTAGCCTAACATGGAACCATCACAGCACCAGGGGTCCTTCTTTGAACAATTACTAATCTTCGACAAAACATGCTGCTTAATTCACAGAATACAATAATTTAATCTAATTACCTGGATGTTGTAAAAACTCCATATACTAGTGTAGTCCTGGGATTATCCGTTTCCAGCAGAAACACATCCTCTGTAAGAGGGAAAACAGCATTATTTGAAAGTTCCCAAATATTAATTGTATTTTTAAATATAAAGCCTAAAAAAAAATCACTTCAACTATGGAATGTATTTGAACATATCCTCCAGCAGCATCATTATAATTTAGCCAAAGCACGTGGCAAAGTAAAGGAGATGCTACATAGGCACTAAGGGATATTTTATGAAGAACTAGTAACTACATGGAGCCATGCTAATGAAATAATCGCACTGGAAATGGTATAAAAGTATATAACATGGATTATGGTGGTGTTGTCAGGTACCACTGACCCTCTGCTTTGCCCAGCATAATGATGTTCTTCAAGGGCTGGTCCCACTGGTGACATCTCCGAAGTACGAGAGATGAACTCTTGTCATCATGCACGTGAACTCCTGCCATCCTCTAATGTTTCTGAGAAGCATTCTCCTTAGAATAGGATTTTTTTTGGTAGGGAGAGAGTGCTCATGGTACTTTAAATATCCTTTGCCAACATCATAATGCAAAGACATCAATTCTTCTCTGGTCATCCTTTTTCCTTATCCAGCTTTGTATACCTACAAAGTGGTTGAACATTCATGGTTTGGGTCACTCACCCACTCTCTACCATCGAAGAGATGCTGCCTCATAACGACCTTATAGGACAGGGTAGAACTGTGTCCAAGACTGGAACTGTTCATGGGAGTAGAAAGCCCCATCGTTCTTCCTTGGAGTAGCTGGTGGATTTTGAACCGCTAACCATTCGGGTTACAGTCCAATATATAAGCACTATACCTCCTGGGCTCTCTCTGGTTTGGGTCACATGTATCTTACTCTTAAAAGTGAGCTCTTTGCTTTCTAACACTTTAAATAGACCTTTTACAGCATATTTGCCCAATGAAACATGTCATTTGATTTCATAACTGCTGTTGGGCATTAATTATGAATTAAAGTAAAATAGAACCCTTTACAACTTAAATATTTTCTTCATTTATTGTTGCGTATAGATCCAGTAGGGAGGGTTTTAAATATATATTTTATTTTACTGTATTGTGATGTAATCCACATTGAAAGCTGTAGTTTTATTTTTTATCTTCATCAGCAAGTGCTTCAAGTCCTCTTAATAATTAGCAAGAAAAGTTTTGTCATCTGAGAATGACAGGCTGTTAACGAGCCTTCCTTCAATTTTGATTCCACATCTTCAAACATTGTCCATTTTCTCAGATTATTTGCTCAGCATGTACACTGAACAAATGTGGCGGAAAAATACAACCATCATGCACATCTTTGCTGATTTTAATATGTCTGTTCTTTTTTTATCTACTTAGAGGTTCTCTATGACTGAATGTCAGAAAATTCTTTTGCGTATGGTGACTGTGTATTACTTTCATCTTCTCTTGATGCTTTGGGATGTTGGTGGAGCTACCCACTAAAGGATGGCTTTCCCGCTACACAACTGTTCCTAAGCTTGAGGTCATTGTTGTAGCCATTGTGTCAATCCATCTTATTGAGGATCTTCCTTTTTTTTTTTTTGCTGCCCCTCTACTTTTCCAAGCATGATGTCCTTTTCCATGGACTTGTCTCTGCTGACAATATGTCTAGCATATGTAAGACCATGTCTTAACACCCTTGATTCTAGGGAGCACAATGCTCTTACTTCTTCCAGTACAGATTGGTTTGTCCTATTGGCAGTCCACGGTACTTTCAATGTTCTTCGCCAGCACCAAAATTCAAATCCAATGATTCTTCTTCTGTCTTCCCTATACAGAGTCCAATTGCACATGCACGAGACAAATGAAAATACCATGACTTGGGTCAGGCGCACCTTAGTCCCCAAAGTTAGATCCTTGATGTTCAACAGTTTACAGAGATCTAGTGCAGATTTACCTATTGCAATTTGTGATTTGATCTCTTGACCACTGCTTCCAAGAAACTTGATCCAACCAAAGGTAATCCTTGACATATTATAATGACCGGCATCCTGATTGTCCCATTCTGTAGGATCTTTTTTATTGCTATCTGATCAGCTCCTTCAATCAGACAATAACTATTTTACATTTTAATGTATTTATGCTAAGAAAAGTCATTTCTAAGTGTTAATTAGTAAATATAAAACTGATAATACACCAAGATGAACTCATTAATCAAAATAACTGCTCTTTTTCAGAAGGGACTCACTCTGTTTAACCTTATTTGACCTAGAAAAAGACTAACCTCCCCCAATTAATGCAAATCCTTACTCTCAGGACTAAAGAGGACTAAAATGAGCTTGAGTCTTTAGTTTCTGGTCTTACATTTTCTATCTAACCTTTATCCTGTACATTAAGTGAAACAGAAAAATATATAGTGTAGTCTCATAGAAACGGACTTTAAACCCAGCTAATATTACATTATTAGCTATTATAATATAGATACAAACATTCATCTATATAAACAACATATTATTAGCAATGTACAAATTTTACCAGCATCTCTTTTTAATGTTTCTCTTTCACATACAGTTGGAGATCATGCAACCAAATTTGCATATTATTCATTCTGAAAATATCTCCTAAAATAACACCTTTTGATAGTTTATTGAAACTTCTAAAACTTGCCAGCTCTCTTTCAAAGAAAATTTTCAATCTCACACTACATACCTAATTCATCAAAATATGTCTCTGGGCCATCTTCATCCATTACTGAGCACACCAGCCTCGCTTTCAAGAAGGTAGTCCACTTGTTGACAAGGCTACGAAGTCCACCGGTATCATTCTGAAACCATTTTATAAACACAAGTTGATTAAAGAAATATTTTTATATTAATTATCCAACTGTGACACTATTATTTGTACATTTTCTATAATGCTGATAGATAAGAAACGGAATCCCTACATCTGTACAACAATAAAGAGTAATATTTAGGATGCATAGTATCATTTTACAAAATAACTATGAAATCAGGTGGAAATGTCTCAAATGAATTCCATAAGAATATCCCCTTAAGTTTTCTAATTATAATAATATATAATGGAAACCGTAAAAAGAATATATGAACAGTACATAATTTGATTTCCCTTATGTTGGCAACTCATTATCTACAATATGAACATAAATGATTATACAATGAAGCCTCAGAAATTCATAGAGAAATGTAATTAAAAGTAAGTAGAATTTTTTCATAAACTTTTTGAAGCCCCTCGGTGTGCACCAAACTGTACTTATAAATTCTCCTGTGCAAAGGAGAGGAAATTTGTCTGTAAAGCACAGTTCTCAATAATTTGCCTTCTTTCTTTTCTCAATTAATCCTTAATATTTTTAACTGGATGTCTTAGTATACTTATTTTTATACTCTTTTTAATATACTTATTTCTCAGTTGGGCTGAAGTGATGGCTTTAGGTAGTTTACAAAATCCTCTGTGTAAAGTATTTGTGATTAAAAAAAACACACACAGACAAAAAATAACACTGTGCCCGGAATATTTCCTCCTTTCTCCTGGGTTTGCTGTGCTGTCGCAAATGGTTGAGTAGAAGCTGTTCCCCGCAATTAGGGGGTTAATGCAATACTTTAGCTAAACTATCTTTAGCAGTAAATGTTTTAAAGATGTTTTTGCACAAATGGTGCTAATAAGAGATAAATAAGGACAAGAAATCTTCCTAAATCTCCAATTAGGAAGAACATGATGATTTTATTTTGAGCATCTCCTTATTATTACTTTTATATATGGAATTTTTGTGTAATTTTATACAATATAACTTAATTATCATAATTAAAAGTTCTTTAATAACTGCCCTTTATTGAATATTATATTTTACTAACAAAGCTATTTATTTTGATAATACACACTTTAGGTATTGTTTTTAATACAAATGCAATGAACGAAAATGCAGAAAATGTGCAAACAAATTTTTTGTTTGCCCAAATATACGACCTTGAGTTTGCTTTTTTTTAAAAAATTGAAATTGAGTATGCTTATCTCAAAAGGTCAATATGAGTAAACATAGTTGAAGTGTCTCCCCTTGATATTTTATTAGTTCATAACCAAACCCAAACCAAATCTCGTGTCATTGCAGCGATTCCCACACTACAAACCCCACGGGACGGAGTAGGGCTGCCTAGGTTTCCGTGCTGTCAGTCTTCATTGAAGCTGGCAGCCATTTCTCCCCAAAGAGCAGTCGACAGGTTCAGCAGCTGTTCTTTTGAGTAGCAGCTGAGCATTTAACCGCTGCAACCCTCCAAACAAGCAAACAAACAAAACACTGCCATTGAGGCTCTGCTGACTCAGAGCGACCCCGTAGGACAGGATCGAACTATCCCTGAGTTTCCGACACCGTCGTTTTTCATGGGAGTAGAAAGCCCGGAGTGGCTGGTGTTTTTATGACCGTTCAGATAGCAGTCCAGGGCACAGCCACGATGTCACCCGAGGGCCCCTTTAATCCACAAGGGTACACAATGAAGTCAGGAAAAGAAAGGATTGGAAAAATGAAGCATATGCATACGGTTTGAAGTATTGGCTCTTTCTTCAAATGTGAGTACCGCTGCACTTACGGGACAGATTCTCGCAATCATGGACTGAATTTGGTTGGTGCTCCTGCTGTTGTCAGTCAGTTTCTCTTTAAAGAAGAAGTACACCTTCGCATCGTTTGGATCTGTGCCGTCTGGGATGACATGTGCATCCACAAACATAGGTTCTGTAGAAAAAAAAACACAAAGACTCTATGTACTCATGATGGAAATCCATCCAATCAGACCACAGGCAAATACTGTCTCCATCTACATGATGTACAGTGAAATGCTCATGGGCGGAGATCTAAGAGCAGTAATTCTATTCACTCAACATACCGAATTTGGAATGTCAGTACCACAAAGTATAGCTATAACATAATAGTTTACGGTAGTTTTCTCTGTCTGCAATAAATTTGGAAGTGCAGTAATGGCAAACATTCTGTGTGCATTGATGGGTTTAAAAAAAATCAAACAGTTATTTTACCAGTGATTTCACATGGAATCTGCTGGTGGTTTTGTTGGGGGAAAAAAGGAGGTGTTTGTTTTTTGAAGTGTGGCTTTTCAATCTAGTGCATATAAACCCAAACTCACTGAAGCAAGAGGAGGAGTTAGGAATCCAAACTCTGAAAAAACTTTTTCTTATAACACAGCTTATGAAATGAAGGGGAAAGTTTTCAGGGGGAGGGGAAGTTCAATCATTGGAAAAAAACAGGGTTTCCTTATTTCAGAAAAAAACAACCTTTAGAGCATTCTATTTCCAGCTGTAGAGGAGGTGTGAGTTCGAGAAATAAATGGACAATCAATGCTTTCTTGTGCTGGCTTATCAGTGAAGTAAGATGCTTAAGTGCAGTGATTCATGAGAAGCTGCGTGTCAAGAAAATTGCCTTATTTAGAATCAGAAATTTTCTCCAACGTGAAATGACAAGTCTTAGAAGTGTCTTCCCTCTCTTAAGCTATCCCGGTGGATTGGAATCATACAGTAAATTCAAATGAACAGCTTTCAGCAGTGAATTCCATGTGACTCTACAACTGGAAACGGTTGAACAATGATCACAAGTAAAGTCACTATACCCATGATTTCCATTAAATATTAATACAATTATGGTAAAGAACCAGTTTTATATTTTATAAAATCAATAGATACCAAATTAGGAGTTTCTGAATATCACTTATTTATGATACCTAAATATCCAAAATACAAAATTTAAAATTTTGGGGGGCATTATTAAAATGTTTAAGCAAACAAAGTATAGTCTCTGCTTATTAATGTTATTCTCTTAAAGTTTAACAACCGGAGAGGACCTTGGGTTTAATCTCTCTTGGCATGATGCATATCACTGTCACTTTATTCATGTGTCATATGAAAATTGCATGATAATATAGAGTTGAAATAGAAACTATAGGTTACGTCAATATTTTATCTTCACAATGGTTAATAATGATAAATTGAATTATTATCAATAATGTCCAATCTTGAATTTTTATATTTTAAAAGTTACCTAATTTCCACTATAAAATTAGATAAATTAGCTTGAACTATGACAAGAAAAGCAAACAAACAAAGTCAAAGAAAACCCAGAAAACCCTGTCTTACCACTCAGCCACTTGGAATTGTGCTGATCCGTTCTGACTGCATTTCTCTTCGTTAAACTTCGGAAAATAGCAGCATCTGTCCCCATGAAATCTATATACATCCCAGAGAAAAGCTCCTCATCTAGGAAAACGTAGCCGAACATACCAATATGAGTGTAATGTTCATTTAAGGCAAGTATATACATTGAGGAGAATTCATTCATAGTAATATAAATTTTATAATATTTATAGGTTGTTGAGTGTTTGATTGTTCATTGGTTTCCCCCAAGAGAAAAAAATGAGATAAATTTTAACCAAATATTTACTGCTTGTATTATTCCCACTACACTTAAAAATAATCAAACTCCAAAATAACATTATTTTTTACATAAAGTAAATTCTACACTACGATGTGAAAATTTTTAGTATTCACCAGCAACACCATTTGGAAGCTGTAACATAAATGCATGGAGCTACAAAATTTTTCAGCTGTTTGAGAAACAAATAGACATGCCCTGAATTCTTTTGACATAAGAACTCTAAATTGTCTTTTGATCCTTGCTGATATATCTAGATTCCATGTGCAGAGAGTGAAAATGAGCTTTTCTTTAAAAAAAAAGAATAATATCTAAGTATATGTTTTACAAATATGATTTTAAATGAATATAAAAGATATCATTATGATCAAAAAACTAGTTTCTACTTTTGCAGTCATAAATAAGCTAAGCATTAGGGAAGGTAATTTAATAACTGGGTTTCAAGGTTTTCATTTGTAAAATCCAGATTAAGTGAAAGAGTGTTGCTATAAAGTGTTACAAACCTATGTAAAACAAAAGTATCAAAATATGAAACTGTTATTTCTCAACATCTCCTCCATCTACTTCCATACACTTCTCAAGGTGGTGTTTCACTCTCTCTAACCCTTCCTAGAAGAATTCCTGCTCTTCAATTTACACCAAGTTTTACGCAAAAGTTTCAGCATTCTCAAGGAATTTGAATTATGTTTCTTTGAAATATTATTCGAGATTTCAGAACAAAAAGTAGTCTGATGGACCAATAGCCACTAAAATTATTGTAAGACAGCCATTATTCTAACCATGAAAAATGAGCAATTACATTTTTGTCATGGGATACAAAAAATTTGCCTTTGGCATAACTTTCCTGGTCTTATGCTCACAAAAACCAGTTTTAAAGTTTCTTAAAACTTCTGTCTAATAAAGCTACATTTCCCTGCATCCTTTGAGAAAATAACTCAAGAGGACTCCTTCTGGTTGTTTCCGTTGTTGATTGTCAAGTTGTTTCTCAAGCCCTGCACCATCTTCACAGCTGTTACTATGCTTGAGCCCATTGCCGTGGTCACTGAGTCTGTCCGGCTCACCAAGGGCAGCCTTTCCTTGACCTTCCTTTACCAACCATGATCCCATTCATTCATTCATTCATTCACTCATTTTGGACAAGATGTTCAAAATACTAGAGATGATGGCTTACTATCCTCTCTTCCAAGATGCATTCCAAAGTACTTAAGACGAAGTCCCGCCTTCCTTGCCCCTCTAGGGAGTATTGTGGCTATACTTCTAGATAAATCTCTTTGTTTTCTTGGCAGGACAAGTGTAGGGACACATGTATTCGTGAAAGACCTTGTCTACAGCCATCCACTGATCACAAAGACACATTCAAACCCATTCTGTTAGGAAAAAAGATGTATATGCATGAACTAGAACTCTGTGATATATTTGAAATTCTATGATTTAACAAACAGCTTGAATATAATAGCTTCTTATTATTCACAGCACATTAAATTTTGTCAACATACTATGGCTTACAGGATTTAATTATTAAAAGTATACATTTGGATATTTGTGCTAGGAGAGTCTTATTAAGACAAATGAAGTACTACCTGTTCCATTGCAGTTAAACCATAAAAAATAGAAGTTTGGGACAAGGAAAATGTACTCAAAGCTCATTGAAGCTGGCATTACTAATAAAAGGATACCATTTGAATTTTTAATGTAATATTAAATATTTAGCTAATTTTCAAGGTCAATATTACTTTTTATTCCAGTAAGAACACTAAAGTTTCAACTGGTAAAAATAAATGTAGCCCCTGAGCATAAAACAGTAGCTAAGTATCTATTTTAAAAAGAATCAAATTTACCAGGCCTGACCTAGAGAAGCACTATGTAGCTGTGTTTTTCTGATTAATGTTCTAGGATTACTCCCCTGGCTACTTCTAGCTTGTGGCAATTTTGGCAGGACTGCAACATTTTGAAGCATTGTAGGCTCACTTTTTAGTAATAACCAATACCAGTTGGCCTGGGAGAGAAATGGATAATGGAATGTTTCTCATCTATGTTCACTAGGTCATGAACTGGACTCCTACAGGTTAATAAGCAGACATGACTGCAATTCTACTCCTGCGCTCTCCTTCCCAAGGCATCCAAAGCCCACGGGTAAAGTTGATAAGGAGATGACAAAATTGTGCATGAAGGCAATCTTTTGAGCAACTGAACTCCTTAAAATTCTGTGAATATTTACAAAGCATAAAATATGTGTATTTGGCTGTTAACTTGTTATCTCCCTGTGATGAATTATTTCATATGCTTATTATTCTCTATTATGCACAAAACAGTGGGTTATGAATTCCTGCTATTCACTAGCTAGATTAGCACCATTATCAGAGTTTCCATCTCTGCTTTGGAGAAGGAAACAGAAAATGACACGCAGGTAGCAGTGTATGTGTAGTACCTGTATCTTCAACACTACAAAGCCACTTGTCTACTCAGTTTTATTCTATCTTAAGTTCTCAATACATCTAATGGCATGTACAAATGTATCTGTTTCATTTTATATTTAAAAAGTGTTGAATTACTTATGCTAGAGGGGAAGGTTTTCTTTCTTATTTATTCCCTTCAGAATTTCTTTCCAGGTGTTTATAAACTTGTTCCTTTTAACTTCAATTTTTAAAAGTATTACTTTCCAATTTGACTTCCACTGACCAGAAAAACCTTGTGAGGTTTTTGATGAGTCCCGTAAGACATATCACTGGACCCCTAGTAGGTGTGTGTGCCTTTGCATGACTAAAATACCAAAAGCAAACAAAACGTGCACAGTGGTTCAGATATCATAGCTATATTGTGAATTTTATAAATGTTCTAGTTCTCAGCATCTCTTGGAACTTAAATAGATACCAAAAGTATTCTATCCAATCTGTGCTATTTAGCATGTTACAAATAAGCAGAGATGATAAAGCCATGCTTGGTAAAGCATGCTGCAATAAAACTGCACTGGACATAATCACAGAGGAACAACCACCGGACAAACAACGTGATCCGAGTAAGTGTACTAATGGTTCTGCTCCTTACTTGCAGCTTTTAAGAAAATCATGATGTTAATCAGAACAGTAAAAGGTAATAAAGAAAGAACATGAGTGTGGAAACTGAAGCCTCCCGACCTCAATAAATCAGGAAGGCCAGTAGGAAATCTTCAATTTGCAAGAAAATTCAGTTCTCTAAGAATAAAACTATGAAAGGACATATTACAATTTAAAAAGAGAATTATAATGTGTTCTATAGTCATGTTTTATTTTGAGCAATATTCAGTTAGATAAATCCCCTTTATTATGGTTAACAATTCTTTAAAGTTTGTTTTTTGTAATGAGTTTTAGCTTAAAGTGAAAACTTTTTCTATAAACTTAGCTATTATGATACATGTCATACAACTTCAAGAGCGGAAGAAAAAATTCTTCCTAATAAAGAAAAAGCAACATTCTTAGCACTGCTTCTGTTAGGTAATATTTGGGAAATTATCTGAAAAGACATAATATCTGATGTAATTGATTACCTTGTAGCTTCAAAGCTTTCTAACAGTTTGCCCAATTGACATACTTTTTGCTTTGCTCTGCTTAATTTGAATAACTACAGTAGAACCCCAGTACTCAACCACATCAGTATGCAATGTAATTGGCTTTCTATGCAAATCATGGAGAAAATCTTGCATCAGACCTCAGACAAAACAAGGAATCCTAACTGAAGCACATGATTTTTGTAAACAAAAGTAGTTCGTGTTTCGGTCACTCGATGTTATGCTAGTTGGCATTGTTAGTACTCATTGTTTAAACCTTTTGTGGCTGTGTTCCAAGTGTTTTTCTAGAATTTTCTTAGTTTTTGTGGCTTTTTGTACTGTTTTTAGATTGGAAACATGGGTCCTAAGAAAGAGTTCTTAGAAAAGAATCGTCATGATAAGGAACTGGCTAACCATGTTATCGATATGATTAATGATAATTTAGAAAACAGGTAAGGAAACACCAACAGCAGACCACATTCGACAGATTATTTAAAGAGAAAGCCAGCCAGGCCCGGGTGAAAAAAGGCAAAGAAGGGAAATACTCCTGAAAAGCAGCTCCCAGTGGATTTGAGGGAAGGGGAGTCCCCTTCCCAACACCGACTCTCTCTCCATCCTCCTCTCCTCAGCAGTGTCCACAGATCAGATCCTCATCTGTCTCAAGGTATGGATCACACTGTTGTCAAAAACTTCTTTTATGTTGTGTTTCTTATTTAAATTATATTATTTAACTTTGAATTTGTTTACTCTGAAATTTCTGTATAATGTTTTGCTTAAAAAGGGAAGATTAGGATAAAAACTTAGTGGTCGAGAACGGATTATCCATTTTCAGTTATTTCTTATAGAAAAAAAAAATTGATTCTGAACTCGACTACATCACATCCAGATGCTACTTCTAGAATGAATTAGTGTCGAGGTCCCGGGTCCTACTGTGTATAGAACAACTCACTGAACTTCCAAGCTTACACCCCAGTCAGTTCTGGGCATATCTGACTTAATTTAATTCCTAGAAAAGTTTCCCTTTAAATGCTTTTGGACATTTATATTGATATTACATATAATAATAATAAATGACCTAAACAAATGTTCAAAATGATAATTATGAACACAATAATTAATTTTCCGCCTGTTCCATTGGCAAAACATACACTTCTTCTGCTGTCTTAGAGAGAGGAAAAAAGGAGTCATCTATTATACATTCAACATTCTGAAATCCAAGATTTATCATGAAAGCTAATTCATGATAACTCAGATATTTTCTGTCTTAGTTCAACCAGAAGAGAATATCTTTGAAGTGAACCTGTGAAAAATATCTGACACTTGAGATTTAAAGACATATTGATTCATTTAACAATATGGGCTTGCCACTTAAAGGATAGTTTATGGACTATCAGACACAACCTGGTATTCCCATCACCTCCTCTTTAAATATCAACTTCTGGATAATCTATGGAGAATATACTTGGCTAATCATTGCACTGTGTGCTTCTATCATTTGGAAGAAATTCCATTTGTAATAACTTTGTGGAAGATTAGTAAAACCTGAGGAAAAGTTGGCATACTTTATGGTAGTAAAAAAACCATGAAAGCATTAGAAAAGATTTTATATATACTCATACATACTTTTTGGCAATGGTTGAATTTAGGAATAACAACATTCATAGATGGAAAATTAGATGTTTTTTTGAAATTTAATCATAAAAGTTCTTTTGACTTCTATACTCATTTGCTATCATTCATGCAACCATCCAAAATGGCATACTGTGTCATAAATTCCATTCTTTGTTTTCTCCATTATTTTACGTTTGCCCGCCACCATTTCTTGGGTTCCAACTTACTGATCATAACAGACACTGTGTTCACATTGGGGTTGAAAGAGCAACGTCCTTTCCCAGATTCACACTTGGAGTCAATCATGAAAACTTGGTCCTTCATTGTGGATAAAATTGAAAATATAGTAGCAATTAATAACTTAAACAAATGGTTTTTTAGTAAAACAATTAACAATCCAAGACAATATATCTTATACTTGGCTGCTTATAATCACCAAATTATTGTGTTAAGTTTATGTGGACTATAAGAATTAAATGAGCTAAACTCCACACATCTAGTTCTTATCCCTTTACACTCCCCAAATGGCTGATCCAACATGAAGTTCCAAAATGAATATTATGAAAAATTCACTTGAAATTTGAGAAACAATATTTTTGGCCAAAAGAAGAAAACTATTCACAGAGGAGAAATGTGTACATGGGTGATACGTCATAAAAATTTTGACACTTTTTAATGAGATGTTATGTCATGATTTAATTTTTATATGAAGCATCACACAATGATAATTGGTCATTCAGGTAATCATTAATAATTTACTTATTTATTTACTTAACAATGAGATCTATATGCCAGACATTGACTAGACACGGCACACTGAGTAAACAAAACAGATAAAATGCTTGTCTTTAGGTAATTTATAATCTAATGCAGGCCACTGAAGGAAAACAGAACAACTAAATAATGTGTTAAGGAAAAACATGCACGGTGTGAAATATGTTACAAGTCTATGCATAAGGTAAGTGCTTTCTGACTGGCTGCAAAACTAGAAATTGGCAGTTCAAAGCCATTCAGTGACTCCATGCCAAAAAAAACCCAAAAGGCCTGTGAGCTACTTGATACAAAGGACAGAAGGAATGTCCTGCAGGGGCGTTCTACTCTGGTGTCATGCCGACGACGGGAGTTAACTTCACAGCAGGGGGGCTTGGTTGGGTGGGTGGAGCATTTCAGATCATGCGCCAGTGCTCCGGACAAATGAGGCAAGTTTACTGCACAGAGAGGGACTGGAGTCCTGGGCTCTATTCGAGATATGGTGGTCAGGGTACTTCACAGAGAGGGGAAATGTATCGATATAAATATTTATTGCTAATAGAAGAACAGAAAAAACAAACAAACAATAAAACCCTAGATGGGGTGAACTGGCCCAACGGCTGCAACAGTGGGCATGGAAGCGTGAAGAGGGCACAGGCCTCGGCAGTGTGTCATTCTGCTGTATACAGTGCCCCGCCGAGTAAGAACTCACTCTTGTACCTAACAACAGCAGCAATGGAAAGTTCATACAAAATGCTACTAAAATCCTAAGGGAAAACAACATTTACATGTTGAATCAGATGACAAAAACAAAACAAAACAGAAAATTAAACCCACAGGTTCACTCATAGTAACCCGATGCATACAAAGACTACCCTATAGGGATTTCCATGTTCACATTGTTATGGAAGCTGACGGCCACATCTTTCTTCTAATGGAGTAGCTCTTGGGTTCAAACACCTTACCTTTCCTTTATAGCCAGGTGTTTAATCACTGCAGCCACCAAGGGCTCCTTGACCAGAGGAAGCCCACTGCTATCAAGTGGGTAACAACTCATGGTCGTCCTAGAGACAGAGTAGAATGGCTCTTTCAGGTTTCTGACACTGCTCCTCTTTCCCAGAAGAGAAGGCCTCCTCTTTCTTCCACAGAGAAGCTGTTGGGATTAAACTACTGACCTTGTGGTTAGCAGCCCAGGAGTAAGCACCATGTCACAAGGCCTCCATACATTATCATGATAAAATCTTTGACAACTATCTTAAAAGAAACGTGGACAGATTAATATTTTGAACCGAAAATGAAAGGATCAAAAGTTTGATTAAGAAAGAATGTGCTTTCGGCTACCAAAAGATATAGCATCTGAAGTCTTAAAGGCCTGAAAATAAACAAGCGGTCATCTAGCTGAGAAACAACAAAACCCACATGGAAGAAACACACCAGCCTATCCCAACTCTATCGCTGAGGACAAAGTGGGTGCACAAGCAAAAGTGGTGACGAAAGCTGATGGTGCCCAGCTGTCAAAAGATATAGAGTCTGGGGTCTTAAAGGCTTGAAGATACACAGGCAGTCATCTAGCTCAGAAGCAACAAAGTGCACATGGAAGGAGCACACCAGCCTACTGCGACACGAATGCTGAAGACAAAGCGGGTACATAAGCAAACGCGGTGAAGAAAGCTGACGGTGCCCGGCTGTCAAAAGATATAGAATATGTGGTCCTATAACCTGGAAGATAAACAAGGGGCCAACTAACTGAGAAACAACAAAGTCCACATGGAAGAATCACACCAGCCTGTGAGATCACAAGGCATCGAAGGGAACAGGTATCAGGCATCAAAGAACAAACAAACAAACAAAACAAATCATAACATTGTGAAGGAGGGGGAGTGTGGAGTGGGGACCCAGGGCCCATCTGTGGGAAACTGGACATCCCTTGCAGAAGGGCTGTGGGGAGGAGATGAGCCAGTCAGGGTGCAGTATAGCAATGATGAAATATACAATTTTCCTCTAGTTCTTGAATGCTTCCTCCCCCCAACTATTATGATCCAAGTTCTACCTTACATATCTGGCTTGACTGGAGGATGTACACTGGTATAGATAGGAAGTGTAAATACAGGGAATCCAGGAAAGATGAACCCCTCAGGACCAGTGGTGAATGTGGCAATACTGGGAGGGTGGAGGGAAGGTGAGGGAGAAAGGGGGAACAGATTACAAGGTCTACATATAACCTCATCCCTGGGGGACGGACAGTGGAGAAGTGGGTGAGGGGAGATGTCAGAGGGTGTAAGATATGACAAAACAATAATAATTTATAAAGTATCAAGAGTTAATGGGGGAGGGGAGAGGGGAGCGGGGAGGGAGGGGAAAAATGAGCTGATACCAAGGGCTCAAGTAGAAAGCAGGTGCTTTGAAAATGATGATGGCAACATACGTACAAATGTGCTTGACACAATTGATGTATGTATGGATTGTGATAAGCGTTGTATGAGCCCCTAATAAAACGATTTAACAACAAAACAAAAAAGAAAGAATAGGCGTTATCTCATGTGCTAGGCAGTTTGGGAAGGCCTGCGATCCGGATGTGGCAGCTTCTACTTTTATCTGCATGAAGTACATAAATATTTATGAATTGAATCCATAAAGTTTTGAAACACCAAAATGGGAAGTCGGTGGTGAAAAATTAGGGAAGAAGACATAGAGAAATGTCCCATGGTCACAGATGCTAATCAAGATATAAAAATATATTTCAAAATGGAGTCTAATGTTAGAGTTTAACGTTATCGCTTTATTGTTATAAATTGGTCTATGAGAAGGGACATAATGATTCCAGAAGTCAATCCCGTCATTAATCTTGGCCATTCATTCAACACTCTTAGTTAATGGATGGCAATGATGGTCTAGAAAGGCTTACAAAGGACAGAGGAATGCAATACAGAAGCAGAGAATGTAGCCTACTAATTTGAGGTATTTTGTAGTGCAGTAGGATGAAAGGAAAAGGGGGAAGTTCTTTAAAAATCCTCCCAGAGCCAAGATACTGATGTGAAGAAAGACAATGAGTGGAAGAAGTAAAGTAAGAAATTAAAGAAAAGAAGAAGAAACTGCAGGGGAAAGACAGAAGACATAAAGCAAAGTCATGGAGTTTATTGATAGAACACGGAACTTTATCGGTAAGAAAAAATGTATAATTCTTCTGAAAAATAGAGAAGGTATCAAAGAGATGATGGAATGTAACAGGAGACTTTTTGTTCCAAAAAGTACAAGGAGGAATTTGGATGCGCCTGCTACTCCATGTCACTTGGAATGTTTCTTGAACAGTCAATGTTAAGGTATCCTTCTTGATGAGTGTTAGACTTAAAGACTTAAATGAAATTGAATCATTGGAACAAATGTTACATAGATGTCTACTAAAATCAACCAAACATGAGATACATCCAAGAATTTGCAGAAAAATGACCCAAATGCTGGGAGGTTTTTAAGAGTAGGAGGCAAGAGATGTAAATGCAGCTATATGCTCAATATAGAAAAAATTGTGATCTATGAGTACATGGGTTGACATTCAACTTAATCAGGTAGAGGAGGAAGAGTGGGAGTACACCTAGAAATATATGTAGATTAAACATAAGATCTTTGCATGTTGTAGTATTTAACTTTCACTTCAAATATATCAATGAATGTTAAAGAGCAATACGGGGAGCAGAGTTATGATACATCTTTTTAAAAATAGCTGGTTTGGGTCTGTTTTTGAATGTATTAATTTGAAGTTATGATTTCATTGTTATTAACTTACTTATTTTCCTAAGAACCAAAGACAAGCAGTGTATACTGAAGAAAGGTGTGGCTTAGAATTTTTGTGGCAATAAATATTTTGGTTGGTTACTATAGAAATCCTATATAAATATTTTTAATTATTTTCGCAAAATAACACAATGGTCATTTGGTATAATAAAAGTGTGTGATGTTCTGAAAATGAACTAAAATCATAAAGTGTGTTCCAAGATCAAATGAATTCCAGTGAAGACAGGTAAATTAAAAGTATAAAAAGTCAGAAATAAATCATTAGTGAGCATTCTAACCTAACATGGTTCACTTTCTAATTGACTTCAAATAGATTTAAAGAATGTTATGCTATATGATGCTATAGAGCAGTAAGTACTACCCAAGGTCCTTACAAAGGACAATGTTAGCATTGAAGAAGAATGATCTCCAACAATATTTAGCTGCGTCATAACTTAGTCATTTTATGCATGCAGATATTTTGTCCCCAAGTAGAGGAAAATAAATGCTTATCTACACATAAATGAACCAAAATGAACCAAAAAACCCCGAACCAGGGTCATAGTCTACTCATGCTTACGGTCCCTGTCGGCCACAGTGTGTCACCAGACGTCCTCTTCCGAACATTAGTTGCAGATAAACGATACTTACCTGCCATTGTATGTACTGCAGATTTATAAAATTGGTATTATGATGAGACTTTTGGACTATATGTAAAATATATAAAATTTAAAAACTAAAACCCCTTTTCATTTCAAAATTGGCTCTTTATTTGTTCACCTTACTTAAATCAATTATACCACTCAATGGAAATGCTTCCCCTTCGAAGTTAGACCAAAGTATTTCATATTTAGGAAAGCAATTTTAAAAAGAATCCCATACTGGCATTACAAAGGAGATGATGTTTTTGGACAGGTTTTCCAATTAGACCTTGATGTGTATAGTGGGCAATTTGTGCATGGGTGAATGATTTTCTTTGAAAACTGTGCTCTGAAGTGTCTCTGCTACTGTTGGCTTACATGGTGACTGCCCAGCCCTCAGTGGAGTGTCTAACAGACTGCAGACATCTGAGGCAGTAGATTGATTATTTAATCAATTGATCACAGGCATGTGGTTCTAATGACAAGCTCAGTGCAGTCCACTGTGTTCTTCCCCAAAGCCTAGCTGTACTTTCCCTTTAAGAGCTTTAACGGTTCCTAGCATCTTGAACCATATTTGGAAATGATTCATTTTAGGGTCAAATTATTGTCTCAGTTGTTTTTAAAACCTCTTAATTCACTGAAAGCTTTATAAGTTTAAATTATATGTATTAAATAAATAAACTTAATAATAAGAGAATATTGAAAATTTTATTTTAATTCAAAAGTAGATTAATGCTTGTTAGAAGGAAAGTAAACTACATTGGGTCTATTTGATCCTTTCTACAGTTCTATTACTTAAAATTTAATTTGGGCATTCTTTAAGAACTGAGCTTTCTAGAATTTAGTTATGTATGAAACCAAATTAAGAGAATTTGAAAAAAATAAGTTGAAAATTAATTATATGAAGTAAAACAATGCATTTGTCTAAAAGAATGTGGAAAACCTCTTTTGGTCTAATTCCTTTCCCTTTGTCAACAAGTGTAGAGTGGGATAAAGGCATTCTTAGAATATAACCCTCGCTTGCTGCCGTGAGTCGATGGGGAGGGCTAGCAACCCTCCAGGACAGGGTAGAACTGCCTCTGCGAATTTCAAAAACTGTAACTTTCCAGAGGAGAAAGACTGATGTGGCTAGTGGTTTTGAACTGCCAACCTTGAGGATAGCAGCACCACTATAACCACTAAGCCACATACCACAGGTAGAGTTTAACTACCCATACATTGGACAGCACATGAGCTATATATTTGTTGGAAAAACCTATCTTGTGATAGAGTAGAACTGTCTCAGAGGTACCTAAAGCTATCGTCTTCACAGAAGCAAACCGCTGTGCCCTCCTCTTGCTAAGTGGAGGACTTGGCATTAGCCCCTGCTTTCATTCACATTGCCCCCATGTCATTTTATCTAATGTATGAAGAGGACTTAACATGGCCTGATATAACCTGATAGTGATCTTAAATGAAAGTATAATTTATTAATCATATCAAAATTTCTTTCAGTAAAGGCATCTGGCCTCATCCACTGTATACTTCATCATGTTGAATCGCTCATAAGGGTTTACCAATTTTGATAAATAAAATAATTAATTTAAAAGATTATAGGCAGCAAATGTATACAAAAATAGTTTTTTTGTACATTCAAGAAAATTCTATCAATGTTCCTTTATTTGTTGTTAAGGTTTTTATTCAGAAATCTCTCTTCTTTTTCAATTGCTTTATAAGCAGCTATATTTTTAGTAACTCGATTGGAATGATATGCGACACAATTGTGCTTGAAGGGTTTGAATGCGTTTTTATGGTTATTGATTATATTTCTAAGTTTTAGAGTTTTGAAAACTATTTGGTTGTAACAGAAAAACTCAGAGTTACCTACCTCTGATCTCCTTCCTCTGTTGACGTAAGTGCAAACCGGACTGAAAGCCCCGCTCCCACAAACATACAAATGGGTGCGGTTGAACGCCTGGATGACTCGGACGAAGTTCCCACAGCCATGCTGCGTGAATGGGAAATAATGAGTTAGGACCTCCATGACGTTTGTGGCTCTCTCGGTCATAAGTAGGTTCAGTTTTTGAGGATAAGCAATTCTAAGACACATAATATACAGATGCATAAATCCCATAACTTTGAGAAATTATGGGTATGCCATATAATTCTAGAATACACATCTAATTTATGGAAGTATTTCACTAAAGATTAAGATTTGTTGCCACTGAAGAAAACAAATGACATCAGCAATAGTCACAGTATTTCATAGAAACCATCACTTAACAATCACCATATATACTCATGCATTAGCCCAGTTTTCAGCACATTTTTAATGCAGTTTTTGTGGTAAAATTAGGTGCCTCGGCTGATATTCGGGTCGGCTTACTCATGTATATACTTGGTATCTGCTACATGCCAGGTGGTAGATTGTCTACCAGTGTTGCCCAAAGTGGTGATAAGATCCTCTAGGGGGTGCTGGAACTATTCAAGGGACTGCAAAAGGCAAGCCCCACACTATCCTGGATTATGGGCTATATAGTACCAAAGTTGTTCATTGCCAAGTGATGTTGGGTTTTCTTTATTTATTTTTCTTAAAAGAGGGCAGTGAATAAGTTTGGGGACCTATGGTTGGGTATTATGATGAATAAAAGGGGTAACAATCTCTACTTTTGTGTAGCTTAATTCATCAGTTTTCCTGTATATCCTAAATTCACTGCTACGAAGTCGATTATGACTCATAGCCACCCTGGAAGGCAGAGGAGAACTGCCCAGGTAGGTCTCTGCGGCCTCATCCTTTTCCTGGGGAGCGGCTTCTGGGTTTGCAGTGCTGGTCTTGTGCTTAGCAAGGCAGCCTACTATACCACCACACCACACTCGTTTGGCTAATTCTGCTCAAATCTACAGTGATCCCTCTTTTACTTGAACGATACATTGCTATACGTTCTTCTTTCTTCTATAACTTTTTGTTGTGAAGAACATGTTTGGGGGAATAATACGAGAACATAGTTTGCTTTCAAACAGAATTGTGTTATTTGCTTTCAAAAGGGAAGCAATGAATAAATGATAGGTCTCTTGGTTTTCAAATACTTTATATACTATATAAATGTTAGGTTCTGAAATTTGGAAAGTTATTCTTTATTGGAAAAAGTTAAAATATTGATAAATATAGCATATAATTTTACAATATAATTTTGCCTGTTTTTCATCAAACATGTATATAATATGTTCAATAATGCATGTGATGTTTAATATGTATTATACACACATTATACACTATATAAACAGATTATGAATGAATTTGTGATTATACAACATGTATATTATTAGTAGCTAAAAACATAAAAAATACTATTGGCCTTTACAGTTGTCAAATAAACAAACTGCTAACATGGTTGCTTTTTATAAGCCATGACATAACTCGTTATCTTTCTTTTCTTGATTTTCTATCCTCTGCCCTACCCTCCCAAAGCCTGCTTCATACTTAACTCCCTCCCAAACCAACTATAGTCAGATGTCATTTATTCACTTAATTAAATATAAAAGAGTATTATGAGTACAAATAGATATAAATTAACCATACTTACCCTAAACTTGAATATTGTTTCTTTCATTCTCTCACATTATTTAAAATAATTTATTTTAAAAATTACATTTAAAAAATAAATCCTTTAAAAATATATGTCAAAAATATAACCGTGACTTTCCCCTGTGTATATATGTATGTGTATCTTTCGCTTCTAGATACCATGCATTTTTCAAATTTTTATAGTGCACAATTGTAATTTTAATTGAAGAAGCAAAACAAAGCAAAGTTTGTTAAATAGAAATTAATTTTAATTTAATCTAGTATTATTATATATTTTCTCATGATTATTTCTTTTACTTCATTCTGCATTGCCAGAAAATGTGCTTTATTTTTATCAACAGCAATATTGTGCAACTATTTCTATTACGTCTTTGTTATGAAATGATCAATCATAAATTTTGCTGTCAAAGTAACCAACTCTCACACACCAGACTATGCAATTAATTTTATTTTAAAACAGTAAGGATTTTGGCTAAATGTATACTTTCATTTATTATATCCTGACACCTGTTTACATAGGTATCAGAAAATGATTACAACATACAGGTGACAACTTGCTTCTCTGGAGGTGGGAAAGTAGATGGAGTCTGGTATTTACATCGTATGTCTATGTGGGGCACCTGGTGGTGCAGTTACTGTTGGGCTGCTGTGCTCAAGGTCATCATTTTGAAACCACCAACACTCTGCAGTTAGCATTAGGCTTTCCTGCTCAGGAAAGAGTTCCAGTCTCAGAAACTTCTACTCTGTCCTATAGGGTGGCTATGAGTCAGAAGTGACTCAGTGGCAGTGAGTTAGTGAGTTGTGAGTGATAAGATATATGCGATTATTTATTCACATTCAAGTTTAGACATTGTGGAGGTATATTTATAATTTCTTTAGGGCATTAATTCAGTTCAATTCTGTTAGTAGGTCATGTCTGTTTTATCTTGTGTTAAATAGGCCAAGATAAATTAATTTCATGAAATTCTAGTACTATAAATTTAGTAATAAGAAGTTACTGTTATCCCTCTTATGTTTTCAATAACATCACACTTGCTTCATTTGTATACTTATATCTATAAGTACACTTATACATCCATCTTCAATATATAAATATACTTAGTATGGCTAATATTCACTGAGAGAGATAAATAACAGTGCTAAAGACTAGAAAAACCATGTTACATATTTTACTACTTTTATTTCACAGTAGACTCTAATTTCAGCCTTAAACTTAAATTCATTGAGCACCTAATATATGCTACATTGATATATTATATTCACATGCTTAAAAAGAAAAACAAAAAATTCCAATCTCTTTATAAAATTAAACTTAGAACCATTTTTGGTGTTAATTTGCTGAGGGTCATTAAGCTAGAAACTTATAAATCATGATTTGAAACACACATCTGTCTAAAATTGACGCTTACATTTTACAAGGACTCCAACGTCATTGGAGATTTATACAAAAATTTATAACACATATTAGCATTTACAAAGCTCTCAATTCTTCAATGTGAAGGGTTTTTAATACTAGAAGCAATGCTTTTACTCAGTCATTAATACTCGATTTTATTCAAGAAGAAACCGAATCCCAGAGAAACTTAAAAGAAAGAGTGTTGTAGATTTAATAAGTAACTGAGCTGAGCCTTAAACCATGGCTAGCTTTTCTGTAGGAACTGAGATTCCTCCTTACACTATCTGATCTCAGTGCCTACAAGAAGACAAGAGCATACAAGTCGGTTGAATTAATTATTTGAAAAGATTGTCTAGCTTCTTTCCAGGTCCAATGACCCTGTCTTAATTTTTTGTCCACATCATTTCTGAACTGGACCATTGCAATTGTATCAATCCCACAGAGCAAGTATCTACTGCACTGACACTCCCGGAAGGGCGCTGCACAGGGTGCTAGAAACACTGTCCTGAGGAGACTCGACTGCGGCTTTCTGAAGAGGAAGAACCTGACATGTTGAATGATCTCACTCGTTGCCACAGAGTCAACACCGGCACGGAGAAACCTTGTGTATAGGAGTAGAAAGCCCAGTCGTTCTCCTGTGGAGATGCTGGTGGTTTCAAACTGCTGACCATGTGAATCACAGTCCAACGCATAACCACTATACCACCAGGTTCCTAGGTTGAGCTAGAGTAGGTGTTTTTTAGGGTTATTTTTAAAATAAAGTAGTATATAAGGAAAGAAGAGATATTAAATCATGTTGAATTATGTGTAAAGGTTTGAAAGAAAGTATACGCTGAACTATTGTAGAATAGATTAAGACTTCTAACAGAGGAAGAAAAAACAAAGCCAAAAACGTCCGAGCAGAAGACATCATGCAGAAACACAGAGCCAGGCTGCCGGGCATGGAGAGAGGATAGTGCGACATGAGATCAGAGAGGCATTTACAAGCAGTCTCTCTTCATGCCGATGGACAGCAGAGAGTCGATTTGAGCATGCTCAGTTCTGAGCCAGATGATCAGGACTTAGTCCCTAGATCCACCTTCACTAGCTGTTTCATGCGGAGACGGTTCCTAGCGTGCAGCTAAATGGCCATGATAATATTGACTGTGAGTGTACACAACTGGGCACCAGGAAGAGTGACACTGCACAGTGTTCCCAGTCAGGGAAGCGAGGCTTCACATTTTAAACAAAGCAATGAAACTCTCTGAAATAATTGCTAGCGTGTGTTAGCGAGCATTCTCTGGTGGGAAGGGGTGATTCTCCAGAGAAGAGACACCTGCAGTGGTACCTGAAAGGACGAATGCATACTTCCCAGGCTAAAAAGGTAATAACAACTGAAATAGAAGAGAATTATATTTATTATGTACAAAAGTATGGAGGATGAAAAGTAGAAGGCTTATTTGAATTCAATATCATTGAAATGGAATAAAGTCAGCTATATTTTCTCACAGCTTCTTTATGCCCAAATATCACTCAGATATCTTTAAAGTCTGCCAAGTGCGACACAGAAGGAAATGGGTGCTTCAGAACTCTGAACCAAGATTTTTTGGTCTCGGTCAAGTTGTTTAGTTCTAGGTAACATTGTCCTGTGCTGGGAAACAACAGTCAGATTAATACTGTCAAATGCCTGCTCTGTCTATGCAACAAAAGAGATTGAGGGATCCGTCTCACTTCATAAATGAGAGACATTTACACAGTAGTGTCTACTAGTCAACATGTAGAATGGGTACATGGGTAGATGTAGAACACGTACATGGGTACGTGTGGTAGTTACATAATCATTTGTGAATTTGAGGATTAAGAATGTAGGGGTGGAGTCTAGTCTGTCAGTCAGATCACAGCCAATGAGGCCTCTGTGTGGGCATGGCCTTCTCCTAAGAATTCTGGGAAATCCGGTATTTACCTCCTTGGAGGCAGAAGAGACTCTCTCACTATTTCACACCCTGGGAGATACAGCAGCTGACAGGACACATGGAACAACCCTAGTGCCCTGAGCCAGACAAGCCGCATGGACGCAACCAGACCACTGAAGCTGGAGAAGCCACGGAGAGACCCCTGCTGGCGCTGAGATGCTTACAACACCACTGGACCCAAAGACTTTCTACCCCCAGGCTTGTGATCGTCCTGCATATGGCTTCATTGCATGTGTTTCATGAGTCTGAAGAGGACTTTATAGATTAGTACTGGACATATGGGCTGATAAATATCAGATTTGTGGCCTTGGACTGGACTGAGTTGGGATGTTTTCTTAATGTACAATTGCGCTTGTATATAAACCTCTTCCTTATACACATATGTATGTGTCTATGAATTTGTTTCTCTAGTCTACCCACACTAACACAGTGCGTTGCTCACACCCCTCATGGTTCTTTTTCTTGTGGTACAAATGCAAATGATGACAAGAAAGCTCACCTTGCAGCATTATCATGAGAAATGAAAACAGTGAGCTGGAGCCAGTTCCACTCACCGCAGTCAGGCCAGGTCCAATACCTTGCCTGGTTGCTATTAATTGATAATAGTCACAGATGTGACTTTTAGAATTATATTTTTTTATAATTATATATTTATATAATTAAATATATTTAATATACATAATATTAAAACTAACGTGTAGATTCTGCAACAAAGTCATTGGTACAAATTAAAATGCTTAATTGCTATTGTTATCACAAAGATAATAAATAATGTGATAGTATTTATTGCCACCAAATTAAGAGATTCTTACATTGTTGGTTTTGTTGAGAATTTAAATAAATATATGTGGTTATGGCTTGAATTATGCTGCTTAAACTATGTATTGTAAATCCTAAACCATATACTAGTGGCAGTCATACTATTTGGGAATAAAGTTTTCTTGATTATGTTAATAAAGTCACCTCAGTGTAAGGTCTCTCTTAAGCTGTGATAGTTAGGTTTATTGTGCCAACTAGGCCAATAGGAACATGTGGGCAGTTTAATCAGGTCACAGCTTGATTAGAGGACAAGATACATGGCTTTCCAAGGTTCACCCCCTTCTCTCTTGCTCCCTGGTGCTCGGACCTGCAGACTGTTGCTTGAGCTAGTTCTTCACTTCGACTTTATGCTGCACTGTCTGTGGGCAAAGCCAACCCATGGATCCTGTTCCTAGAAGCTTCCTAGAAACCTTCTTAACCACACGGCTGGCATGTACATCTTTGAGCTTGAGGCTTGAGCTTGGGACTGGCGGAGCCTGCCACTGTGCATCACCTGACTTCAGGATCCCACTGAGGCCTGCTTCACTAAGCTCCCATGCTACTGACTGTTACTGACCCACCCTGCTGTCTGCTGCCTGTGGGCAGACTCTGTCTTGCCTGAGGAAACACACCTCTGTCTGCTTCCTTGACCTTGGATGACAGTCTGTTTAAGTTGAAAGACTTTCTATATGTTAACTGTTTCATGATATTGAGTTGAACTGAGCCCTCTGTACTGTTGTGTGGACTAATTAGCTATTATATTCCTTCTTGCTGTATAAACCTATCTATCTATTTATCTATATTTATCTATCTATGAAATCATAGGTGTCCTGGTTTTGTTTCTCTAGAGAACACTACCTAACACATAAGCCAATTACCTTTGAGATATATACAATGAAGTGATTAGGCATAGTAAAACAAGCAGAGAAGCAGAAGCTAGATACTGGTCTATATAAAGATCATCCAAGAACTGAGCTACAGAGATAAAAAGGGACAAGACCCTTCTCTAGAGATCACAGGGAGAGAAAACCTTTACATTAGAACTGGCACCCTGAATACTGGCTTCCAGCCTCCTGAGAATAAATGTCTGCTTATTGAAGCCACCCACCGGGGTAGCTGTGAGACAGCAACACTAGATAGCTGACATAGTTGCCATGCAGAAATACTAAACATGTATTTGGCTTCATTTTTCGATTCTTGGCCTTTTTTCTTGGATAAGAGAGCACTGCAAATATCTCATATTTAAAAATAGGAATGGATTCCTGACGCACTCTTCTCTTGAACAGGGAGAACCTGTATTTGAAAGATTCCGTTCTGTTATTATTTCCTAGGACACAACCCTGTTGGGTGGACAAAGGAACAGATGACAAGGCCTACATATAACCTCCTCCTCCTTGGGGGAAGGACAGCGGAGAAGTGGGTGAGGGAGACATCAGATGGTATAAGATATGATAAAATAATAATAATTTATAAATTATCAAGAGTTCAGGGGGAGGGGAGCTTGGGGAGGGAGGGGAAAAAATGAGGAGCTGATACCAAGGGCTCAAGTAGAAAGCAGGTGCTTTGAGAATGATGATGGCAACATATGTATGAATGTGCTGGACACAAATGATGTATGTACGGATTGTGAAAAGAATTGTATGAGCCCCTAATAAAATGATTTTTTTTAAAAAAAAGCTCTCCAGATCCGATGTAACAATACCTAGAACAGAGCTGTCAGCTGTTTCTCTTTTGTACAGCAATTGGTAGATAAGAGAGATATCTAATCTGAATGATACTGGGAGACATCAGCACCCTAGGCAAATGTGAGCCAGCATTCCATACCTTGACTCATCATTATCATAATGTAAAAGACAGAGTTTACAGTGTGCCAAAGGGAATAAGAAGTCAAATTACGCCGCTAAGATTCTCTAGAAAGTCAAAGCAATTTTTGGAAAGAGAATGTGGAAAGGTATTTAAAGCCTACACATTTCTCCTGTAGCTGCTTCTATGGATATCAAATGCAAATCTTTTTGGTTAAGGGACAATCAAATCAATGATTACAGCCAAAAGTCAAGGCATAAGCTGATACACATCAGTGGGGAAAATCTACATTCACGAATAAAATTGTTCCATGCAGGCACAATTACTGAAATAATAGCTTCAGGGAGAAAGCGTCTTCTCTGCTACATGACACTTCCTCCTACCCTTGGTTCCCAAGAAGACAATTGTAATGAACTATTTGGTAAGGCATCCTCCTCAATTTTAGGTCTTTCCCCCCCAAATTACTGTCTAATATGGCCCCTCAACATTCTCCCTACTTTTTAAGACTCCTGCTCTAATGTGGATAATAAAATTGGAAAAGAGACCATCAGGGCTGATCCGGTCAGTGCTGATGGTTTCCTCTGCCAAGAATGTTCCCCAGTCAGACCTGAAGAAAGAATCAACCATTGCCTTCCATGACCCAACCAGGACCTAGACTTTGTCACAAACCTTACACATGGGATCGTTCAGATTTAGAGAAATTAAAAGTTTAATCTCCACATTTCACCTTCCCTGAGCATTAGTTGTTTATTATGTTTGCGCTCACCTGAAGACAAGTACATATAGACAAGCACTCATTGCTGAGGCTCAGCACATAGCCTGCACCCCGGAAACCAGAGCGTCTAGCCTTTAGTGCACAGATTGGTCAGCACTTGTGAATTAACTTGAGGTTAGAATGCGACGACTACCATGTTCAGCATGTGTGTGCACACATGTGTACATGTATCTACATGTTTACTAGTTTTGTTATTCAATCCATGCATTTTAATCTCATTCTTTGGTGTCCATTATTTCCAACCTCATCCTCCAAGCAAATAAAGTTAGTGAGAGTCACAAATATCCATTTTGAGGCAAATTAAAGCTCAAGTTACCTAGCAGTATGCCAGACACATAATCAGTACCCAATAAATATTTGTTGAGTGAATGAGTGAATGAATGAATGGATAGTGGTATCTCTTTCCTAAATTATTTGTGAAACAGAATATTTTATACTTCATTCTGTTTCATTATTTTTCATACAACAAAATTAGAAGTGTGACATGACACTGGTGTTTTATTATAATAGGAAATTACATGTGAGTATTAAAGATATGTTTCGTGTATACCTTTTTTTTTTTTTTTAACATTTTATTAGGGGCTCATACAACTGTTATCCCAATCCATACACACATCAATTGTGTAAAGCGTATTTGTACATCG